GTTTTTTCACAATGTTTTTTTAAAAGATTTTGAGGACTATGATTTAACAAAGGATCATCACACCATCAAGAACAGAATACATATGCAAACATGAACAACCTCAGTGCGTAACCTGCAATATAATTCAAAAAACAAAAGACAATTTAGGTGTAATACACCTACAGTACAAGCTCACAATCACAAAAACATCTCCACTGCAATCCTGGCTGAAAAGTCACCTTAGAAAAAGAAAACTACTAAATTCTAACTAAAATATTTTCACTTGATATCCACATATTCTGCCTTAATCTTTCTAACTGGATACTGCATGTCACCTTTACTAAGAGAAATTAGACACCTTCTCCCCTGCTAATCCTCAGTTGATGAAGTGCACGATGAAACCAGATAACTGTTAAACAGCCCCAATGGGTTTCCTAATGTCTCTCCAGCCTCCCTACTTATTGAATACAGTATATGCCTGTTATTGCTGATGTTTCAAGTATTAATACCCTAACTTTCCTGCACTTGAGTAGTAACCAGGTATTACTTTATTCTTTGCTTTGATTTTGCAGACACTTTGTGAGAGAAACCGAAACGCTGACACTGCAGAGCCGTCCTGTGACGGCGGGTCTTAATCCTTCTTAAAACTTTCCTGGGATGTAGAGGAAAGGGGAAGGACTGAAGAGGTCCTCCAGTGAGCTTTTCTGCGATGACTGTTTTCTCTCCAGGTCAGAGCCTGGAAATCAGGGTGAAAGTATCTTTGTTAAATTAGAACATCATTAACACAAAACATACAAGTGAAACGATTTCCAAGTTTGGGGCTGTGGGCTGAAAAGTTTGGGAACCCATGTGACAGACATACTGGAATTGCCAAGATTGGAGAGCATATTGGCAATGTTGGAATTGTTGGAATTGTGTTTTTTTTGGAAAAAAACTACATTTAAATGTATAAAGGGACACAATTTAGAACATTTTAAAATGGAAAAAAGTACCAGAGTAAAAAGTATTTAGCATTTTTTGTGAGATTATCAAATGCACAACATACAATACTGTGCAAAAGTCTGTTTAAATGTGTAAAATGATGTTTAAATCATCTTCATTTGGTGCAAAACTATGACGTCTAGCCATTTTAAAACATCTCCTAAAATTCCCTCATGAAATAAAAATATATGGCAATATTTTGGAAAATAAAATGCAATATATTACATAATACATTTCCATATATGGGACACTAGTGCTTCAATATACTGTAATATACGTCTGGACCATGTATGGCTATATATTGATACATATAAAAAGTATATTGCAATGAAGACGAAAACTGCACTACATAAAATAAGCACCTAGCCATGATAGATAAATGAATTTTCAATAAAACTTTCATGAGTTAACTTAATGCCTGTGTTTATGCAAAGAAGGTATATTTCCTTAAATATTGAATGTCGATGTATTAAATTAATTAGTGTTCTGATTTACAAGTTAATTTAAAAGATTTAATATAATTAATATTCTTATTGGTTACATGAACTAATACTGATAAATAATCAACTGAACAAAAGTATTCATATCTTAAATATGTATATACAGAGTAACATATTGTGTAATATAATAATCAATATATTACAATGTAGTGTAGAATACGTAAGGAATTGGTGCTTCTCATGGAATATGAGTATGTAAAATATAAATACTGATGTATGTCATTGCAGGGTCTGGGCATCCCTGCTTCCCCCGCAACCTGACCCCTGATAAGCAGCAGTCTCCTCACAAGGATAGTGGAAGGTTTACATGCGTTTTATGGTCTTGGAAAAGGGATACGATCGACACCCTTGGGGGTTCCTGTGGGGGGGATCCAGGAGTATGAGGTACAGGGTCCATTGCTATGGACCTTCCCTGTATAAATGAAATAAAAGTTTGGTTGGCATTGCCAGCAGTGAGTCAGACTCTTTCCTTATGCTTGGTGGGTGCTGGACTCCGCCTGGGCTGCCCTTTGTCACCAGTTCTGTTCATCACTTTTATGGACAGAATTTCTAGGCGTCGCCAAGGGGTGGAGGGGGTCCGGTTCGGGGGCCTCAGGATCGCGTCTTTACTTTTGGACTTTTTGCAGATGATGTGGTCCTGTTGGTGTTGGGCTGTGACCTGCAGCATGCGATGGGGCGGTCTGCAGCGGAGTGTGGAGCGACCGGGATGAGGATCAGCACCTCCTAGTCTGAGGCCGTGGTCCTTGATGGGAACAGGGCGGAGTGCCCTCTCCGGGCGAGTCGCTGCCTCAGCTGGAGGCAGAACTGTTCTGCTGTGGTGCAGAGGAAGCTGAACTGGAAGGCAAAGCTTTCAATTTATCGGTCGAGCTACGTTCCTCACCTATGGTCATGATCTCTAGGTAGTGACCGAAAGAACGAGATCGCGGATACAAGCGGTCGAAATGAGTTTCCGCTGCTGGGTGTCTGGGCTCAGCCTTAGCGATAGGGGGAGGAGCTTGGACAATCGGGAGGGGCTCAAGGTAGAGCCGCTGGTCCTCTGCCTCGAAAGCAGCTAGTTGAGGCCGTCGGGGCATCTATCCAGCATATGTCCTGGATGCCTCTCTGCCTCCCTGGGGAGGGGCTTTTGGGCATGTGCAACTGGGAGGAGACACTGGGGCAGACCCAAGCCATGCTGGAAAGATTATATCTCTCGGCTGCCCGGGGAACACCTTGGTATTCCCCAGTGGAGCTGGAGGTGGTGGCTGGTGAGAGGGAGGTCTGGGCATCCCTGCTTAGACTCCTGCCCCTGCGCCCAGACCCCAGATACGTGGCAGAAGGCGAATGGATAGGTTTTGAATGAAAAAAAATTGTCATATTGTCAAGCATTTTTAGTGTCAATATGGAATTATCTGGTTCTTTAATTGTCTTTATGAACTTTAATCACAGCAAGACTGCTTTCTCATGATTTAATGTAGATATCATGGATATTATTATATTCCCTGCAGTCTTTTGTAAATGTCTAATTATTTGTTTTTGTTTTGTTCCACAGATGCTGTTGTACAGCAGCGTCCAGGGGCCAAGATATCGGACACAAGAAAAACAACTGAGACAAGAATTTGTGAGTTGAGGCACCAGGTGAAGCGAATAAGGAACATGGACAAATCCTGATGGACTGTTAAATAGGCTAACAGGCTAACAGACTAACAGGCTAACAGACTGTTCTTTTGGGCCCTTTATTTGTTTTCTTTCCTTGTCTGGGACCTCTAGCTCATGTCTAAAGATTGAAAGCACAAGCAAGCACACACACACACACACACACACACACACACACACAAAAACACACACATATATACACTCACCTAAAGGATTATTAGGAACACCTGTTCAATTTTTCATTAATGCAATTATCTAATCAACCAATCACATGGTAGTTGCTTCAATGCATTTAGGGGTGTGGTCCTGGTCAAGACAATCTCCTGAACTCCAAACTGAATGTCAGAATGGGAAAGAAAGGTGATTTAAGC